GTACCGGGTGTGGTGGAGCTGGAGGGGAGTGTGGAGCGGACAAGGGAGTCACGGAGAGAGTTGTCCCTCCGGAAAGCAGATAAGGGTGGGGAGGGGAAGATTTCTTTGGTGGTGGGGTCGGATTGCAGATGGCGGAAGTGTCGGAGGATAATGCGTTGGATCCGGAGGTTGGTGGGGTGGTACGTGAGGACAAGGGGGATTCTTTTTTGGTTCTTATTGCGTGGACGGGGTGTGAGGGATGAGGTGCGGGAGATGTGGGAGACACGGTTGAGGGCGTTCTCGACCACCGAGGAGGGGAAGTTACGGTCCTTGAAAAACGAGGACAACTGAGATGTACGGGAGTGGAATGCCTCATCCTGGGAGCAGATGCGGCGGAGGCGAAGGAATTGGGAATAGGGGATAGCATTTTTGCAGGAAGGTGGGTGGGAGGAGGAGTAGTCTAGGTAGCTGTGGGAGTCGGTGGGTTTGAAATGAATATCGGTTTCTAGGTGGTTGCCCTATATGGAGACAGAGAGGTCCAGGAAGGGGAGAGAGGTGTTAGAGATGGTCCAGATGAACTTAAGGTTGGGGTGGAAGGTGTTAGTGAAGTGTATGAACTGTTTGAGCTCCTTGTGGGAGCACGAGGCGGCGCCGATACAGTCATCAACGTAACGGAGGAAGAGGTGGGGTTTAGGGCCGGTGTAGGTACGGAAGAGGGATTGTTCCACGTAACCTACAAAGAGGCAGGCGTAGCTTGGGCCCATGCGGGTACCCATGGCTACCCCCTTTGTCTGTAGGAAGTGGGAGGAATTGAAAGAGAAGTTGTTGAGTGTGAGGACAAGTTCGGCTAAGCGGATGAGGGTATCAGTGGAGGGGACTGGTCGGGCCTGCGGGACAGGAAGAAGCGGAGGGCCTTAAGGCCATCTGCATGGGGAATGCAGGTGTAGAGGGACTGGACGTCCATGGTAAAGATGAGGTGTTGGGGACCGGGGAATTGGAAGTTCTGGAGGAGGTGGAGGGCGTGGGTGGTGTCACGGACATAGGTAGGGAGTTCCTGGACCAAGCGGGAGAAAATGGAGTCTAGATAGTTGGAGATCAGTTCGGTGGGGCAGGAGCAGGCGGAGACAATGGGTCGACCAGGGCATTCAGGTTTGTGGATTTTGGGAAGGAGATAGAAGCGGGCAGTGCAAGGTTGGGGAACGATGAGGTTGGAGGCCGTGGGTGGGAGGTCACCTGAGGTGATGAGGTTGTGGATGGTTTGCGAGATGATGGTTTGGTGCTCAGGGGTGGGGTCATGATCAAGGGGGCGGTAGGAGGAGGTGTCGGAGAGTTGGCGTCTGGCCTCGGCGATGTAGAGGTCAGTGCGCCATACTACAACTGCGCCTCCCTTGTCCGCGGGTTTTATGGTGAGGTTGGGATTGGAGCGGAGGGATCGGAGGGCTGCACGTTCTGCGGGAGAGAGGTTGAAGTGGGTGAGAGGGGTGGAGAGGTTGAGGCGATTGATGTCTCGACGGCAGTTGGAGATGAAGAGGTCGAGGGAGGGTAGGAGGCCTTGGGGTGGTGTCCAGGAGGAGGGGGTGTGTTGGAAGCGGGAGAAGGGATCAGTAGAGGGACGGTTAGGTTCATGGTTAAAGAAGTAAGCGCGGAGGCGGAGGCAGCGGAAAAACTGCTCTATGTCCAAGCGTGAGCGGTATTCGTTGATGTGTGGGTGGAGGGGGACAAAGGTGAGCCCTTTACTGAGGACTGACCGTTCATCCTCAGTAAGGGGGAGGTCTGGGGGGATGGTGAAGACTCGGCAGGGCTGGGTGCTGCTGTCTCCTCTGGAGCTGCTGGCTGTGGAGGCTGTGGGTGGAGTTGCGTCGGCGGTGGACGGAGTTGTTTACATTGACATTTTTATAATAAAGTTGACAGGAAGTTTATTCAGTTATGTGCGGTTTTAATATAATAGAGAGTTTGGGAACACATAATTATTCGCTCGTGATACAGAGCACTTGAGCTTCTGTCACAGCCTGCACCTATTGTTGTACAATGGTTATCTCGGAGTGGGTGAATTATCTTTAACTGCGTTGTTGCCATGGTACAGACAAATTACAGGTATTTGTCATGGTCAACCACTGCTACACTGCTGCCATTTTAATTATCTTCCTTTCTTCTGTGTGCTGTCACATCCAGCAGTGAGCAGGAAGCAAAGTGTCCTGATGGTTACTTTGTGAAGCGAGATGACATTGTTTGAGGGGCATGATGTGGTGACTGAGATAAGAAGAGGATATCTGTGTGAAAATGATTTCAGACAAAGCTAGCTTTCAGAGGCGCTCGATAATGTGAGGCAGCTCACCAAGTGCAGCCGGTATTTGCGACCAAAAGCACATTAAAACCTGATACTTTTCCCTTCGGGGCACAAGTACTGAGTAGGTTTTACACGATCATCCCTTCCCCGTTCTCCACCCTAACAGCCTCCCCTCAATCTGAATGATTGTCTCAGGCTCACCCACAGCTTTATAAAAAGGCTTATAGGTGTGTGTTTCTTTTTTGTATGTTTCAGAATCTGGCATGCAGCAGTGATAAAGAGTGTGGACCCAGTGGGTATTGTCACCATTCGCACCATCAAGGCCACCCGTCCTGCCTATCCTGCAGGAGAAGGAAGAAACGATGCCATAGAGACTCGATGTGCTGCCCTGGAAACTACTGCAATAACGGTACATTAGCTTTCGCTTCACTGGGGCATGAGCCTGGTTGAGAGAAAGAAGCATTTGAACTGGACAGGGACTTGTTGTCAGATGTTAATCTTAACCGAGCAGGAAATGAAGAGTTAAGTTGATCATTAAGGGAGAGGGGGGTACAAAGTGAGTGCTCTTCCTTCAAGAGAAATCAGGTATGTTCTGTATCATCAAAAATTGAGCTGGGTCTAGTGACATAAGTACTGTGCCTACCAGAGCCAGTCATAGGCTTGGAATCCTGCAGTGAGCAACTCATCTCCTGATTCCCCAAAACCTGTCCACCATCTACCAGGAACAAGTCAGGATTGTGATGGAATACTCCTCACTGACTGCAGCTCCAGCAAAACTCTACAGGCTTGACACTATTCAGGATGAAGCAGCCCACTTGATTGGCACCACATCCACAAACACCCACTCCCTCCACTACTGATGCTCAGCAGTAGCAGTGTGTACTATCGTCAAGATGCACTGCAGAAATTTGTCAAAAATCCTTAGACAGCACCTTCCAGAGTCACAACCACTATCATTTAGAAGGACAAGCACAGCAGATACATGGGAACACCACCAGCTGCAAGTTCCCCTCCAAGCCACTCACCATCCTGACTTGGAACTTACCAGTCCTGCACTGCCACTGGGTCAAAATCCTGTAACCCCTTCTCCAACAATATTGTGGGTCTACCTATACCAATTGGACTGCAGTGGTTCAAGAAGGCAGCTCACCACCACCTTCTCAAGGCAACTACAGATGGGCAATAAACGCTGGCTCGGCTAGTGACACCACATCCTGTGAATTAATATAAAAGATAATCTGTGACTCAGTTAGCTCGACATTAGAAGGTTGATGATTTAAGTCTCACTCCGGGGACTTGAGTTCACAATCCAGGCTAATCCATCAGTGCAGCAGCGACAGGGGTTTTCCCCTTTGGATGAGATGCTAACTGATCCTCCCTCTTTGGTAGCCATGGTACATCCCACACCACCATTCAGAGAGGAGAAGGGCTATTTTCCCTAGAGTCCTGGTTAATACCTATTCGTAAACTAATGTCGCTAAAGCAGAATATCTGGCCATTACTATTGTTTATGGGTGTATGGGAATCAGAGTTAATACTGAGGAGTGCATTAAACACATGGAGTGGGAGAAACAGCTTCACATCTTGAAGGAGTAAGACCTAAATCAAGGTCTTCCCCAGTCTCAGTAACAATGTCTATCATACCAATATATCTGAGCAGTATCATGCAATAAAGTGTATCTTTGTTCAAGACAAGAGCACTTTGTCATTGTACTACCAAATTGTTTTACTGTACCCACACTAGACCAGGGAGACCTTGTATATCTTGACCAAGAAAGAGGATAGTAGCAGTAAACCTACCAAGTGAATTTGACCCTATGATGAGCTGCAGTATGTCTTATGACAATGATCTCATCATCGGTAGGGCCTTGCTGTGTGCAAATTGGCTGGCGAGGATGAATGTCTGGGAAAGGAGCTGTAGAAAGGGGAGCAGGAATGGAGGGGACTTTGGCCATCAGCCCGACAGCTTTATTACAGAATCAGTAGGAGCACTCCTGTTCCCATTAGCTCATGTTCAGATTCATTTTTATAAAAGAGTTATCCTTTTTCTTCCAGTGGCAAGTTCCAGCCATCTCTTTAATATCTGCTTTAGCCTGCTGGTAGTCAAGGTAATCCTGATCTACTGCATTCAGGGCAACCCAGTTTTATATCTGGGTCCTAAATCAAGCCTGAAGTCTCTTATTAGAGACACCTCCCCAGCTCCTGAATCAATTGGGAACATTGTTTGCATCTGGGTGGTTTGCTCTTCTATTGGATCTTTCCGTTCCTGTTTATTGCCCAGCAAACAAGTACAGTGATGTTAAATTTTGCCTTCATAATACTCTGTACAGCTTCTTGCAACTATTAGAATACATATCTTCAGATGAAATGTACAGGCAGAAAATTCTCATTTTCACTTAAAGTGTTTTGCCGAGTAAAACGCATGCTCCTTATGGCTCAGAATCACTTTTCACACACTATCTTCCAGCTTACACCTCATTAGTAATGTAACTAGGCTCCTGTGTGTCTTTTTTGGGGTATTTTGTAGCTCATGAGTGGAAGCAGTCATTGTCGCTGGGACCTTACAGTGTTGAATCTACCGGCACCATATTTAAATCCCAGCTACGCACACCATTTCAGTTGCTGCAAGCCAGGAACTGCCCCTCATGCTGTGCAGCTCAAGCCCCTACATTCAGCAAATGGCCCAGAGGAAAGAAGAGCTCGCTCCCTGCGTCATGGACAGGGACCTGGTCATGATGGTGGATGAGGTGGAGGAGTGGAGGGCAGTCCGTTACCCTATGGACCCCCACAGAGAGCCACGCTACCAGACCCAGCCAGCCTGAGTACAAATTGGAACCCAGGTCAGTGCTATATCCTAGGGGCGACAGGATATCCAGCAGGATAGGAGGAAAGTCAATGATCTTCTGTGCTTCACAAGAATAGCTGTCACCATCTTCTCAGTATGATCTCACACTCACAGAACCATCAGTCACTCTAATTCAGGTACTGCACCTGCCTCCCACCAAAACTCATGGACTACAACTCTCACTATTGTATTCGTTCACTTAATGCTTCTTGCCCATCTCATCCTCCTAAAATACTAAATCTCCCTGCCCTCTGAGTTAACAATGTAATGCAAGCCTCATAGGCTGGTGGCCTGTGACTAAGCATGGAAGATCCGTGTGTGTTACGAAAGCAATGTGAGCCACACAGGGGCTGACAGTGAGTACTAAGGAAGCAAGCTAAGACCCATGAGATGGGTCCTGTGTAGATGCACAAGATAAGTGCGTGTTCCAATGTGCAAAGTGACCAGGAAGAAATAAGCTAGTCTTTGGTGTCCCTGAGCTGTAAAGTAAAGAGCTGATGGGGTGAAGTGGTATGAGAGTTGGTTGGAGAGAAAGCGTGGCGATGTGGTGAGGCTGGTGGTTTGCCAGTGCTGACTTGTGTGGACGAAGGATGGCAGCCGTGGAGCTGTTATGGAGAAGAAGTCGAGATGATGACTGGGATGAGCTTTCGGTGAGCTGCAGCTTCCAGCTACTTGCTCCGATTTACTGTTTGGGAATTTTGCACCATCCAGTTTCTTGGGAAGGAGAGGGGAATTGGAAGAGTTCTGTAAATAAGGTGAGTCGGAGCTTTAATGATACGCACATGCATTGAAATAAGATAGCCGCCATTCAATTGTGAGATTCTGAAGTAGCCCTTTGAGGCTTATGGGGAAAGGTGCAAAATTCTCATGTTGTCATTTGGACATTCTCATTCTGTCTGTATTTTTCCACTTTTTGCACCATTGCCCATGGCACACCAGGCAGGGGTAAATTCCACTCATAAAGTATGCGGAGAGCTGCAAAACCAACATCAAAGAGATTATTTTTCGAATAGTAAGAGGCACAAGGACCCTGGATTTACTTGAGCTTGAAACTGCTTAGCAAGAGGCACATCTCCCCCAGCATTAAATGATCCAATGTGAATGGAGAAAGCCATTTGAATAAATCGCACCCATTTCCAAAACACACAGCGTTCACGTCTTAAAGTTTTATTTACCGCAATATGCTGGCTCATTCTGGGCAAATTCCTCATTGGAACAACAGTTTAAACATATTAAATAAAAACCGAAAGAACTGCGGATGCTGTAAATCAGGAACAAAAACAAAGTTGCTGGAAAAGCTCAGCAGGTCTGGCAGCATCTGTGAAGGAAAAAACAGAGTTAACGTTTCGGGTCCGGTGACCCTTTCTCAGAACTTAAGTTTAAACATACTGTTTTAAACAGGTAATGAAGGAAGGCACCATTTTATTGCAATTCCCTGCTGCACTGGGTAGTTCTATGCAGCAGTTCACATAATTCCTGGTCCCGAGTGGTGGAAGATACAGTTGACTGGGCACGAGAGACCGTGGTCACCTGTCCTGTCTAATGGAGTTGTGACAGCTGGGTTTTTAGCCTGGCAGCTGTGCATTCGCATTGGTGGCTCATCAAAGGAGTCCGTTGAATGATGCGATCACAGCTGTAGCCTGCCACTTTACTTTTATTGTCTTGCCAGAAACCACACTGCCCAAAGTACACCACATGAATTTGTTTTCAAGTGTCAGGCACTGCAAAAATATTGTCGCCTCACAATTCCTGGCTTTTCAAGGCTTCCGCAAGCTTTGATTAATGAGAAATGGGTTTCAGCTCACACTGAAGTGCTTAGGTATAGGGACTACTCAGGTAATTTCCCTCCCTCATTCTCAACAAGCATCTGCTGGATGTGAGTTATGATATTCCTGTTGATGATGACAACTTCACTCTTTACTCAATGGTAACCATTCCGTTTACTACGGGCTGATATTGAAGGATGGATTTGTTGATTGTCTGTATCCAGTAGGGGATACATGCTCGAAGATAGCACCACAGAAAATCAGTGCTCTCCTATTGCAGTCCTGCCTCCAATTCTTTGAGGTCAGGTCCCTGTTTGGAAAAGAAAATAAATCTTTCACTCATTCTATAGACAAACATCTTATCACCCCTCAACATTAACAAGATCCAGCCTATAGGAATATAGGAATAGGAATAGGCCATTCAGCCCATTGCGCCTACCCTGCAATTGAGTGCAATCTTGGCTGATTGAACCCTTTAATGCTTTTTACACATCCCATCCCCAAAACCCTGTCATGCCTTCAGTAACCAGAACCAGATAAGTCTCAACCTTAAACATACTCAAAGATTGAGCTTCCACTTTCGTCTGCGGTAGAAAAGTCTAAACAGTAAAATAATTTCTCCTCATTTCAGACCAAAGTGGCATCCCCTTTATAATTAGGCCTCTGGTTCTAAGCTCTCCAACTGGGTGAAACATCTTACCTGCATCTATCCCATTCTGTCCCTTTAAGTATTTCTTTAAGTTTCAATGAGATCACCTCTCATTCTTCAAAACCCTAGAGAATGCAGGTCTAATTTGC